TAGACTCTTAGTCAACTTATAATCTATAAAACATGTATTATTTTACAATGAATGATAAAGCATTTTATTGATATTCTTTTTAAATGAACCATGGTTTTAACTTTAGATAGTGAGGAAAAGTTTGAACTTTATTCTAACTGTTTCAGCACAGGATGCGGAAATGTAATGCTGTTACAGACACACACAGACAAACACACAGACAGAAAAACACACGCTCACGGATGCTTCTGTTGATGAGAGGGAGAGAGGTTTTTCACATCTTGATGAAAATGACTGATAAAGTAAGATGCTTTTTCACATTTAAATCTAAATGTTTTTTCCTTATAATCTATAAAACACGGTTTCATTTTTTAGCTCGTGTAAGATTTTTTCTCTGGGTGACGGAATGTTTCAGCCATCTCACACCCGACTGTCACAGGGCCGAAGGCCGGTGAGAGAATCTTCACCACTCAAGTAAGCCGCTTTTTATTTTACAGATCCTATTGTGATACGGTCATTATTAGAAAAATATTCCATCAATGCAACAGCAGGATGGGATGGGAATTCTGTAGAACTGAGACCACCCATTTTATAGACGGCTTTTCTGGTATGGGAGGGGGGCTACATCAACGATAAAACCAGACAACCGGGGTCAACCTGTCCATTTTGATCGATCGCTTCCTGGGGTCACTAAGAGGACAAAACCATACATGTTCACACACATGTTTTTTGGATTAAAAAAGGTCATCCGGTCAAAACCACAGATGTTCACACACACATGTTTTTTGGATTAGAAAGGTCAACGGGTCAAAACCACCTGTCCATTTGATTGATCGATAGGTCAAAGGTTAATCGATATCCCAGACACGGTATGTCAAAGGTCAAAGCTTTATGACTACTTCAAAGAGCGAATCCGGAAGGGCAAAGGTCAGCCCCGCCCACCTGTCAATCAAAAAGCCATAAATCATTTTGACACAAGGTAGCCTATTATAACTACTCTCGCGCTTCAGTTCACGGAGATCATGAAGCGCGCCTTGATTAATTGTTAAAGCACAACGTTTTCTTGTTATAAATAAATTTATTTGCGAATAATGTATTATTATTTTCTGTATGACCAGAAATTAAAGAGTATTTTAAGTTGTTTCCACTGAAAGAAATGCAATGAAACTGTTCACATGGGCGTCTCGCAGCCATCAGTGCATGCTCCACACACACTGGATATGCGCTGATATTTGTCAAAAATATTGTGTTTATTTGTGCTCTGTTCCTTTTTTGGATAAAGGCGTCTTCTACATATGCAGCCTAATAAAATGTTACAATAATGATGATGATGGTTATTATTATTATTATTATTTGCAGACACGGAGTTTTTGTGAAATGGACGTTTATTTGCTTATTTTCAATTGGCAATTTCAGTTTGAAGGGATGGAAATGTGGCTTTAACTGCTCCGTACTTGCCGCGTTTTATTTCTATAAATAAATTTCGTTTCAAATGGGGTCCAATCAGTTATTAAAGGTGTTAAAAATTTTTACTCTGTATCTCGAGGTTGCGGCGCGCACACTATGCACCGAGTATTAACCGATGGGCCTCGGTTAACGATTAATGAATAACTTGAAAACGTGCCCGCAGCCCTAGGCTACTTGTTATATCGCGCAAAAAATCGCTGCTTGAAATGGAGAATCGCCTGTACTGGTCTCGGGACACTATTGCAGCCACTACGGCAGTTGAGTTAATATACATGCTATCTTCCTAATTTAAAAAATAAATTAATTCATAATACCCGCTGAAATGGGTTGGGTTTTATGACGTTTGATCCAGAAAGGCGTGTTAGGGGTGGGGTCTGGGGCAGCGCTGTGGGGCTACTGGCCCGGCAGTGGAAACGCAAGCCCGGTGCTTGAGGCCCGAGGCCACTAGCTCGGCCCGGCTCGCTGTTAGCTCTGGCCCAGCCCTAGCCCGGCAGTGGAAACGCGGCTAGTGTGCAGTGTGAGAGGGAGAGTGGCCACCCAGTGTGCAGTGTGAGAGGGGGAGTGGCCACTCAGTGTGCAGTGTGAGAGGGAGAGTGGCCACCCAGTGTGCAGTGTGAGAGGGGGAGTGGCCACTCAGTATGCAGTGTGAGAGGGGGAGTGGCCACCCAGTGTGCAGTGTGAGAGGGGGAGTGGCCACCCAGTGTGCAGTGTGAGAGGGGGAGTGGCCACTCAGTGTGCAGTGTGAGAGGGAGAGTGGCCACCCAGTGTGCAGTGTGAGAGGGGGAGTGGCCACTCAGTATGCAGTGTGAGAGGGGGAGTGGCCACCCAGTGTGCAGTGTGAGAGGGGGAGTGGCCACTCAGTGTGCAGTGTGAGAGGGGGAGTGGCCACTCAGTGTGCAGTGTGAGAGGGGGAGTGACCACTCACTATGCAGTGTGAGAGGGGGAGTGGGTGGCCACTCAGTGTGCAGTGTGAGAGGGGGAGTGGCCACTCAGTGTGCAGTGTGAGAGGGGGAGTGGCCACTCAGTGTGCAGTGTGAGAGGGGGAGTGGCCACTCAGTATACAGTGTGAGAGGAGGAGTGGCCACTCAGTGTGCAGTGTGAGAGGGGGAGTGGCCACTCAGTGTGCAGCGTGAGAAGGGGAGTCGCCACCCAGTGTGCAGTGTGAGAGGGGGAGTGGCCACTCAGTGTGCAGTGTGAGAGGGGGAGTGACCACTCACTATGCAGTGTGAGAGGGGGAGTGGGTGGCCACTCAGTGTGCAGTGTGAGAGGGGGAGTGGCCACTCAGTGTGCAGTGTGAGAGGGGGAGTGGCCACTCAGTGTGCAGTGTGAGAGGGGGAGTGGCCACTCAGTATGCAGTGTGAGAGGGGGAGTGGCCACTCAGTGTGCAGCGTGAGAGGGGAGTGACCACTCAGTGTGCAGTGTGAGAGGGGGAGTGGCCACTCAGTATACAGTGTGAGAGGAGGAGTGGCCACTCAGTGTGCAGTGTGAGAGGGGGAGTGGCCACTCAGTGTGCAGTGTGAGAGGGGGAGTGGCCACGCAGTGTGAGGGGGTGTGACCACTCAGTGTGCAGTGTGAGAGGGGGAGTGGCCACTCAGTGTGCAGTGTGAGAGGGGGAGTGGCCACTCAGTGTGCAGCGTGAGAAGGGAGTTACCACTCAGTATGCAGTGTGATAGGGGGAGTGGCCACTCAGTGTGCAGCGTGAGGGGGGTGTGGCCACTCAGTGTGCAGTGTGAGAGGGGGAGTGGCCACTCAGTGTGCAGTTTGAGGGGGGTGTGACCACTCAGTGTGCAGTGTGAGAGGGGGAGTGGCCACTCAGTGTGCAGTGTGAGAGGGGGAAAAATGCAGAGAATGAGCTTACTAAAAAATGCTTACATTGCTTTATTTGGATTACAACTGTGCGTTGTGTTTGTCAAGAACAACACATCCTTTTTAATACACGGTGTAGAAGAAAACGTAAAAGTAACTAATAACTACAGACTATGGGCCAGATGTACTAAATAGGGCAAATTAGCATGAGAGTGCAATCTCATAAAAGCGACCACATACAAATGAAAGGACACAGACGAATCCGGATCATTTTCATAATGACTAACGCAATCTACAGAGAGCAGAGCGAATTAGCGTCTGGTTTAAGACATGAAATTCCATAAAATTCTGCGTCTGAAAACTCTTACAAATGCGTATGCAATAAGGTCAGCCCAAAAAATAACTGTCTTAAGTAAATTTTGACAGTAGTTTTTTAATGCCAAAACAGGGTTTGCGCTGGTGCAAGCTGTTAGTAAATCTGTCCCCATATGTAGGCTATTACTCGTAAATAAAAATCGTCAAATGTCGCCCATTATAAAAACCCACTGTGACTGAAAAACCTTCCAGGTTTTAGGGATACAAACTGAAAAGCTCTAAAGAAGATATCCAAAATGTGCATTGCTGGGCTAGGCTACTCCAGAATTGAGAACAACTGCTTTGAAAGAATGAATATGAATGGATTGCCTAGTCATCACCTATAGAGTAGTATTTATCTTAAGGGTTATTTACAGTGTTTGATGGAAGTGTCTATAAGTGAGGGATTTAATACCTAATTATGGGCCTCTGGTTGTAAATTGTCACTTTAAGCACCACTTACAGTAAAGTATTAAATTTCCTCTTTGCACTGAAAGAGAACACAAGTGTACTCTTCAAAAGTCTAAAGAGGAAGGCTACTTAAATTTCAGCTCAGTTTCAAGGCAATGAAATACCGAAACATTCCTCTTGTTCTTAGTAAAAATCTTTATTTTGATAGTTCACAAATAGCATAGACATGAACTTTTTCATCCATCATGTTTTTAGTGTAATGGAATGTTTTGTTTTAGTAAATTATGTCACAGTAATTTTTTTTTCGTCCATACAATGAAAGTAAATGTTTACCAAAATTATTTGTATTACAGCATTTCTCAAAATATCTTAATTTAATTTCCTCAAAAGAAAGAAAATCAAACTTTTTGGGATGACATGAGAGAGAGTTTTGACAGAATTTTTATGGCTAATAATGATCTCTCCCTTTAAATAATCTTCTGCCAATACCTTTTGAACGTCAATTAAATGTGTTTTTTAATGTTCAATACAATTTAACATTGCAGTTAATATGAATATATATATATATATATATATATATATATATATATATATATACAGTATATATATATATATATATATATGAATATATAAAAACTGCATGCATTATAATATACGTATGTGATAGTTCACTTTGAAATTAATTAATTTTACCTCAAGGGCATCCAAGATGTAGGTGTCTTTGTTTCCACAGTATTTTCAATTTTGATATTTTTCGGTCAAACCATTGTTGTTTATGAGTCATATAATGCAGGTTTAGGGGGTCCTCGGTTCACCTCTTAAGAGCATGCGCAGAGAAGTAAAAATTAAACATGATTTAATGACTCGTAAATGTAAGTACGAAAGAAACGAGACTGAATAACGAGTGGAATTTTTGTGAGAGCCTGAATAATTTTTTTCCAAATGCCATTCTGTTAACATTATTCCTAATGATATTTCAGTCTGGTTTCAAGATCTGTTCCTGCTGAAAGAACATCCCCATCAGTTATGGAAAGTAACTCTGATGTTGATCTGGATCCTAACAAAGACGACCTTCCCCTGCGGGCTAACACCAACCATATACTCGTCCGACACTATGTGCTTGACCTCACTGTTCACTTTGAAAGGAAGGTCATTGGTGGCAGTATCGTTCTGTTTCTGGAGCCCGCTATTGGTTCCTGCAAACAAGGTGAACCGGGATCTGTATCAAAGACAGAGGTGCAAAACGGATCTCAGGTGTCATCTAAACATGACCTAAGTTCTCCCATCACACCTGAGCCAAATGAGTTGATACCCTCTGAGGAACCATCATGTTTAAGTGGAGGAAATGATGTGAGTGATGTCTTCTGGGGTGATGAGAGGGAAGAATTCACCTTGGTGCTGGATTGTTGTGACCTGATGGTGTCAAAAGTGGAAGAGGTGGATGTAACTACAGTGTCTAATTTAAAGGAACTTCTCGTAGACCATCGGTATGCAAATGCGGATCATCCGTCATCCAGTCTGGTACAGAGGCTGGTCTCTATGCCTTCAGTCTGCTGGAGATCGCAGCATGAGCTCTACCTTCAGTGCAGCCGTTCCCCTACCGTCCTAAATGCACAACCTCTACGGTTCCACATGGACCAGTGGAGTCTTCAGGTCAGGAAGGAAGGGGTTTGCTCCTCTCATGACTTCCCGTCTGCTGTCAGAATCTGGTATGAAACTAAGCCCACAGGTGGTTCTGTGAGGTGGACAAAAGACCAGGATAGCAGGTAGCAACCATATTTATTTTTACATGCACCAACAACTAGGCCTGGGTATTCATTATACAGACTTATACATGAAGAGTTCAGATGCAAAAGCCTCTAAATGCCATTTGAAATTTTCTTCTTTAATGATGATTTTTTATCAAACTTGTATATTTAAGTTCAGTAATTTCACTTAAATAACAATTAATAGGTAATTATCATTGCCATTTAAGTGAAATCACTGAACTTAAATATACAAGCTTGATAAAAATGATCATTCTAGAAGAAAATTTCAAATGGCACTTAGAGGCTTTTGCATCTGAACTCTTCATATGTCCTTTTTGTTGCATCAACTAGTGCTGTAAATTATACACTCTTACAAATAAAGGTTTTTAATTGGTATCTATGGTTCCATGAAGATCTTTCAACATCCATAAAATCTTTCAATTCCACAAAAAATATTTATTATTTGTTTGTGAAATTGTTTGAGTGAAAAAAGGGTTCTTCTTCATGCTAAGAAAAAAAATAGTTCACTTAACCCTTAATTTAAAAAAGTTACTCTGGAGAAAAATGTCTGAAAAAAAAAAAACTGAAAAATCTGAAAAATGAAAAAACTGTCATAAAAAAAATGTAGCTCGGGAGCACAGACTTAAAGGAGTAGTTCACTTTAAAAAAAAACAAAAAACTTTTGCTAGTAATTTACTCATCCCCATGTCATCCAAGATGTCCATGTCTTTCTTTCTTCACTCGAAAAGAAATTAAGGTTTTTGATGAAAACATTCCAGCATTTTTCTCCATATAATGCACTTTACTGGGAACCAAACGGTTCAAGGTCCAAAAGACAGTTTCAGTGCAAACTGCAAACTGTTCAAAGGGCTTTAAACGGTTCCAGATGATGAATAAGGGTCTTATCAAGTGAAACGATCGCTCATTTAAAAAAAAAAAAAAAAAAAAACAAAAACAAAGTTTAAGTTTTATAAGCTCAAATGGTCGCTTTGCTCTGTTTTGTGATGCACGTTTGTGACTCTCCTTTTCGGACTTGTTTATCAAATTGAACAAATCTTTTTTCATGTCATTTGGTTCATTCAACGAACGAAATGAACGAATTGACTCGGAAAAAGATTCATTCATTTTGATGAAAATCACAGAACAGAGCAAGGCGACCATTTGAGCTTATAAAACTTAAACTTTGTTATTTATTTTTTTTTTTTTAATGAGTGATCGTTTCGCTTGATAAGACCCTTATTCATCGTCTGGAATCGTTTAAAGCCCTTTGAACAGTTTGCACTGAAACTGTCTTTTGGACCTTGAACCGTTTGGTTACCAGTAAAGTGCATTATATGGAGAAAAATGCTGGAATGTTTTCATCAAAAACCTTAATTTCTTTTCAACTGAAGAAAGAATGACATGGACATCTTGCATGACATGGGGGTGAGTAAATTATCAGCAAAAGTTTTTTTTTTTTTTTTTTTTAAGTGAACTACTCCTTTAAGTTTGGTCTCATTTTTAAGAAAATTATTGACAGATTATTGATGAGGTATAAGAAAAAGTTTAAAAAGTGGAACCACAAAAAGTTCAGAGGTTTAAATTTATAAGAAAACGATTTATGAAGATTATTTTATATAAAATATATGTTTTATGAAACATGTTGAACTCTAAAACTGCTAGAAAATCATAGCCATCAATCTAAACAAGTTGTGTTCTAAATTTGACGATATCTTAAAAAATACTTCTTTAAATAAGATTTAGTTTGGGCGCAGTACCAAATTTTCCCCGTTGGATGCCAGCAAAGCTTCACTAGCACACACAGTGGTTGGATTTGTGATTTGCACACAGTAGACTTACCTCTCGTTTTATCTCTCAAATATTACATGTATGCTCACTATATTTTTCTTACACACATTCAAACCACACACTGTCATTCATACCAGCACACCCACACAATTAGAGTTGCATAATAAATCTGCATAATAAATCCATAAGAAAACAGCAACAAAGCTAGTAAAAAAAAATTTTTATTCTCGAAGCCCTGCCAACAGAATCAAAGTAGTTTTTTTTTTTTTATAGTTTTATGACTATTAAAAATGAACTGGAATTCAAAATTGCAGTATTAATGGATTTCAATTGGACTTTTTTACTAAAAAACTAAAAAGGCAACAACAACAACAAAAAAGGGATGGACCAGGGTTAATAACTGTTAAAAGTTATAAACGTTCCTTGGGGAACCAAAATAACTCTCTTATGACACAAAACCCCTAAAATGGAAAATAAAATGGTAATAAATGGATTATTTAATATTGTGTTGTCTGTATTAATGACTTTATTTGTGTCTTATTGTTTGTATTGTTTAAATGTAATAAAAAAAAATGGTAATAAATGGAACCCTGAAAAGTACACATACAATTCAATCAATAAAAGTAATGATAGCAATGTTTATTCAGTAACTGTTGTGACATTTCAAGATAATTCAGTGAAGAATTCGTCAGATTGATTCAAACTAAAAACTTCAAAGTTCGTGAATCTTTTGAATGATTCATGGATTGATGTCATTTGTTCGTCAATCGATCTACACAGGTTGCGCTGTATGTTTTTCATTCACTAAATGAACCGTTTAAAAATTACTTGTTCTTGAATCAAGCTGTAAGCCATGCAACCTGCAAAAAAAAAAAAAATGTCTTGGTATAATCAATGCTGCGAGGCTTTAGATTTAGTACCATCTCTGAAATGCATGGCAAGAAACACTTGCATAGAGTAACAGACTATTTGTACCCATCCTTATCGTTTAGATGCTGTGTATATACCATGGGCTCGCCCATCAACAACAGAGCCCTCTTCCCGTGCCAGGAGCCACCTGTTGCCATGTCAACGTGGCAAGCGTGTGTGAGAGCTCCGTGTGATTACATTGTTCTTATGAGTGGGGAAAATCAAGCCATTCCTAAGCCTGCGGAGACAGGTAGGCTACAGTTGGAACCCTAATTTAGCAGGACATAATCATGGAGGTGCAATTAGTGCAATAATTTTATTATGGAAAATTGAAGCCTTTTCTCTTCTCTGTTCAGGTTTTCTGCAGTGGGATTATTATGTTACGATGCCAATGCCAGCCTCCACCTTTACCATAGCAGTAGGGAAATGGCTAGAGGCTGGAGTAAACGTTCCCAACTTTGAGGTGGAAAAGACAGACGAAACTTGTGTCAAAGTACTCAGGTATGTTATTCATGTGATGTGACTAAGTGTAAGTCTAGAAAAATATATTCAGATTTTTTTTTTTGTAGATTTTTGGAGATCAGCTATTATTTTGGCAAATTTGATAGTTTTTAAGATTTGAAAATCTCCCAATGACATTGATACATTTTTATTCAATGCCACAAGAACAAGAGGCTATTACCACATTATTAACAACATTAAAGTGTGTTCATCCAAAAATCTAAAACTCATAAAGGCCCATTCAGACCAAGGATGATAAAG